TTTTTCAGTATGCGCATAAAACTTACTTGACCTATATTTTTCACATGTATGTGATTTTTGTGAATGGAATGTGTCTTTTAGGTTAGCTATTTTCATAAAAGAATTAAAATAAAATGATACCCTTTGAAGAATTTTCATGGATAAAACTTTGAAACAATAACGCTGAAAAGCCAAAGGGGGCACACCAAACCTGAATTGCAACCCTAAAGGCCCATTTACACTAGCGGAACTTTGAGCCTAAGAAATGCACGCGGAAGTTGCTAGCTTCACTAAATGGCGAAAATGTTACTCTTTTTTTTAAAACTGAAACTGAATATGTACACATTTAAATAAACAGCCTAACTTATAACATTATTCAAGAGTTTAAGAGTTAAATATTCCCTCATAATACGAAAAAATTGCTGTTAAAAACGAGTCTTCAAATTCATTCAAAAAAACTATCTCTCAAACGAGTCTTAATTCGCCTGCGTTTCTTAGGCTCAAAGTTCCGCTAGTGTAAATGGGCCTTTAAGAACGGTTATGAGGAGTCAACCTGCACAACTGGTAGCTCTTTCATTGGTTATTTCGAAACCAACGTAACTTCCGATCACGTGACAAACAGCATCGCGCATCAAGTAACCTCTGGCAACCCCTACGAGTTCGATTGGTAGGGAAGTGTTTCAAATGAATACGAAAAATCCCTCGTTTTCAAAAGTGATCGCTATTGCTAGATACAACGATCGCTGTTTGAGCGATCATCGCTGTTTCAATTTGAATGAGGCCTTTAATTATAAATACAGTTCGTTGGTCACGTGATGTGAAAATTTCTCATGGAAAAATAATTACAATTTTGAAACACAAATATAAATAAGTAAGTCTGCAAGAGCACAGTGAGATGCAGGACTAGTCGAACATATATCCATGGGGTCTAGTCTGGACACCGGTCGAGATCGATATCGGAAAACCAGTCGGGATTCTCTTTCCACTCGACAACAGAAGGGAGAGCGAGTCTGGTGCTTTCAAATTCCGTCGGCGGAAAGTGAAGTGGAAATTCCGTGCGGAAGTGACGTTTATTGCATAGCAACCAGTCTATCTCACCTCTACATTGCTCCAGGCTCAGGGGAAAGGGGTACTTTGTTATCAAAGGAGCTGTTTCGCACGTGCTTATTACTGAGGATGGCGGTAGGAAAAAAAATCGAGTTCGAGTTATGGTGAAATATTTCGAAAAAATACGCTGCTGGATTTAGTAAAGGGTATGGAAAAAAGAAATGGGGCACGTTAATGGATATTTTGAACGCAGAAAGAAATGGCCTTTTCAAAACTTCAGGTATGTGAAGAAACGTAAACATAATTTTACGTATGATCTTTTGCAAAATGGAAATTTTCTAAAAGGTTACATGTTTGTAAACTATTTGTTAACAGGAATTTTATGATTAAATTACATTATTTTGTCTGACAAAGTTATACAACAACGTCATAAGTCAAATCATTGAAATATAGCACCGCGTACGCGTGTTTAATATTCCTAATGAATTTGAATCAAAAAAAATTTAATTTTTAGCAACCCATGATTATATCAATAATTTAATTTATTCAGGAATTATACCTATCACGTAGCTACAAATATACTTGTATCGTAGATACCAATAAGCAGTGAATAAAAATATAACAAACTTTTAACAAAAGTAATAGGAAGAAAAATAAAAAAAATTAAATAACTATAGGTTAAATCATAAAACATATTATCTTGCGTACACACACACACACACACACACATATATATATATTAACATATGCAGTGAAAGGAAATTGCAATACATAATCCTATTTATACCCTTTTTAAATCGATCCCACCAGTGACCGTGTGGTAATATCGCTGAATACTGGTAGTTCGGTCCGAGGTCCAAATACTGCGAAGGGGTTTGTTGCATTACCAACATATCTCTGATAACCAATATATCTGTCGTTACCAAAATATTTCTCGTAATTTCCAAAAGCATAAAAAATTAAGGCATACAAAACCTGTTTTAAATAAATAACTATATGTGTATATAAATGCATTATAAATATATTAATATATGCAGTGAAAGGAAATTGCAGTACATATTCCTACTTATACCCTTTTTAAGTCGATCCCACTAGTGGCCGAGCGGTAAAATCTCCGAACACTGGTAGTGCGTCCGAGGTTCGAATTCCGCGAACAGGCTGGACGCATGGGCGTCATTACCAATGTATCTGTTATTACCAATATATCATTGGTAATGACAGATATATCATTGGTAACTTCCAGAAGCATAGAAGCTTAAGGCACAGAAAATCTGTTTTAAATATATATATATATATATATAAGAATAAATTGAGTTTAATTAAAAAAATTAAATTTAAATACATATTTAATTATTCTTTGCTGCAAGGAATGAAATTTAAACAAATTTAAATTCTTAACAAATACGGAAAAAAGTAAAAAAGCAATTTTAATTCTAAAAAAAAAAAAAAAAAAAAAAAAAAAAAAAAAAAAAAAACCAAAATAATTTTAAAATATGCAAACATGTAAAAGATTTAATTCTCGAACTATTCTACAATATCATTTAAATTCAGAAGCATAAGCAAATCAAGTGCAAAATCTATCCATGAAAATAAATCTACTAATTTAATAAATTAAACAGTTTTTTTAAAAAATGCAAATGTGAATGATCGTAGAGTAGGCAGGAGACAGACTTATCAAGGGGAAGTTGCCTCCAAACCTAACTCTCCAATCATTCAATTTGTATTTCTTCATTCATGCAGGCAAGGGTAAAAGTCAAAACCAAAAGTAATTCCAATAAAGTGGTACCCTTAGAAATTAACATTTAAGTATTAACATTTAAGAATTAAAGTTCAAAAAGGAAAATACTAATTAAGTCTTTTGAGAACAAGCAAGTAAAGTCAAGAATTAAACTTTTTTCTTAAAAAATTAATTTTTTTTTAAATTAATTTTTTAAAATAATAAAAAAATCTAGAAACCAATGTATTTTAGAAATCCTTGTCTACAGAAACTTCCCCTACACGAATATGCATATCAATAAAAAGAAACTATAAAAGAACTATACATAATCCATATAAACCAATAAGAAATAAAAACAACAAAGAACAAATTCACAATTTTAAGATAAATATATATTAAAAAATATAATTTCATATTTAGAAAATACTTAGATACTACATAAAAATTTTTAAAAAATACTTAAAGCAAGTAAATTGTAAGTTTTAATTCTAACTTACCTACTATATGAGTGTTGGGGTCTGCAAAAGTGTTGTGAAAGAGAAGTAAGTGTGTTCTTCAAATTATATAGATGGCGCTTATGTAGGTAAAGTTGAGTGTCAAGCTGCTATCTTTGTTATAGTAAAAATTTTTTGTAAAGATTAATATTAATTAAATTAAATTTAATTTAATTAAAATCCTAAAGGTAGTAATATCAATTATTTAGGGAGTTAAGTAACTGAGCCAATCAAGAGATGTATGTTTGCTTGAAGGAAATTAAAGTGAAGTGGTATGTGAAAAAAATGTAAACTGCTTGTAATTTGAAATGTGTGTTCTGTTGAAAAATTGTGAAAATTGTTAAAAAATTAAGCGGACGGTAAAATCGCTGAACACTAGAAGTTCAGTCCAAGGTTGAAATCTCGCGAACGGGCTGGTTGCAATGACGTTTTGTGGTTTTCCCCATGTGTTACGTGTATACGAGCTAGTTTTCCTTAGAATGTCCTCCACGAAGGCAACCCTCACTTTAGGCAGATAACCCTCGAGGATTTGCCGTAATTACATAAAACCAAAACTAAGCACTTTTTAGATCTGAATAAATATACACAAAACTGATGTAATATCTAAAAGTAGACCACATTAAAAAATCTGATAACTAATTATAAATCTGGCATTGTAATATTGACAAGAATTTAACCGAAAATTATACAGGAATTTAATTTGTTTTATACAGGAGATTTTAGAAACTATTGGAAATTGACATTGATATCGGTACACTTAAAACTACTTAAATAAATTTCTTAACTCAAAGCAATTTAATGTAAATGTTGAATTTAGGATTGCATAGTTTGAATTATATACTGCATATTCTTTAATGCATGTCTAATGTATGGCATTTTTATACACTACAAATTCAAATAAAAGAGAGGGAAATACATTATAATTCTAAAATATAAAATTTATAAATTTATAAATTACTCATCAAAACATGAAATTAAGTACATTGATATATGCATTCGTTTAAAAATTACAATTTTAAATTAAAAGTATGCACCCCTTCTGTATATGTGAAATAGGAAAACACCAAATATATTATTTTCACTAAAATTTATTTAAGGCATTGGTAACGTAGAATAAATAAATAACGTAGAATCGTCAGCATCAAATGCGTTATTTCTATAGCGAAATAATTGAGTTTTTTCACAAATCTTAAGAAAATAAAATATCTATTACATACACTTTCAAAAACAATCCGTGACCTCCGCCGTCCTCAGTTTAGCTCTAAAACGACAGTCAGAAACCTAAACGGCAGCTGTCCAGCTGACGGAAAAATTTCCGACGCATCGATCTCTGTAATGATCGAGACGATGACACCAGACTCGCTCTCTCTAGAGTAGATCGCAAAAAACGACCCGTTCTTCTAACTCTACGGTGTCCAGACTAGTGCCCCATATGTGCACAATGCTGAAATTAGCAAAAGTTTTCGCATCAACTCAAAAATGACAAAGCAAGTCGCTTAAGGTGGTCACCCACACATTCACTGGCGTTTAAAAATTCTGCTTGAATCAATGTAGTGTTTATTGTTAAGTAAATTTGCAATGCTCCAAATGGGATTATCAAACAAATATATTGGGAAATTTTGATTATCGGGGGGGAATAAAGGCTGCATAGTTCTCGTCTCTTATTTATGCACTTTTCCTTCGCACCTAAGATTGATTTTTCGCCTGCAAGTAGAAAAGCTTGGCGGATGCAAAACAAGACATCTGTCTACATTGTCTGTCTGTCTGGCAATGTCAGTGTTAGTAGTGGCGATTTCTTGTGCATAGAGTATTGAGTCAAATAACTCCTATTATTGTCTGTCTGCTTTTTTATTACATGTGACAAGCCAATTAATATAAAGTGCTGTCCATAAAAGTCGTGTAATGCTAGTACGTGCCTTCATAGGTAAGACTGTTTCAGATAATGGTAAACCAAACATTTGGTATTATATGCTATATCTTTTAGGTAGAAAGTAAATATTTCACTATAAAAATAAACGGTGAAGCATTCACTAAATAGTTGTAATAAATTTATTTATAAATAAAAGCAAAATTGCAACTTTTCATCAATTTCGAAAATAAATTTAATTCCGAATTTATAATTCGATAATTGAAACATGCTCTTTAAAATCGTTTTCTCTTAATGATCGATCAAACCATATTGTGTATATTAACCACATATGTTTTTAGCTAATAATGAGTTGTGTTTAATATGCATTATTAACAAAATTGTTACTCATGTAAGGCTGTAAGTTTTTTCCCTTCGATGAAACGTAGGTAAAAGAAGTTTGAGAAACCAAACTTCAGTAAAATAAAGGGAAGTAATTGGAATGATTTAGAGTAGCATATCTGAAACTTATTTCAAGTGGGAACCACCAAGTTAGAATGTTCTGTGGGCCATCTTGCTCTTGTCAGCAGTTTTTTAGCGTATGTTACTACCTGTATACTTGTATTTTTAAAATACAACTAATTAAAATTAATTTAATTTTATATTGGTATTAATTAAAGTATAGAAAAAACTTATTTTTGTATTTAGTAATTTAAAGCTGCTAGTGTTTGAATAATCTTCAACCTTTTAACTAAAAATTAAATAAATATTGGTACTGCCAATTAATGAGTTGTATGAGCTTGCTAATTCTTTCACCGCTCTGTCTTCAATGGTAATGAGATCCAGAGCTTAATGATGTATTCTGTAGTGTTGGTTCATTAGAGTGTTCAGTCAACTGTTCTTTGTCATTTGATGCTAGTTTGTTATTTTCAAAATTTTAGTGGAAAGGATCATGAACTCATGAAAATTCGTTATATTTCCCACTTAGTAAAAGTTTAATACTGTGATCTCGGAATTGTGATATGTGAATGTATGTCGTCGCATAATGCTTTTCCAATAATGGTGTCATTTTCAATGGAATAAGATTCTAATGTTGAAAATTGTGAAAAATTTCTATAAAATCTGTATAAAACTAACCAGCAAACCAAGCGATCTTTCAATTTGCTTTACTTTCTCATGTTAATTGAGAATAGTCAAAGATATGCCATTATGCTTAGCCAAATGTCATCAGCAAGAAGCTGTGTAAAATTGTGTTAATTTTATTTTGCAAATCTGAAGGACCACAATTTAAAAAACCACTATTTTAGGATATTGTCTTCATTATTAAAATGATTGATCAGTTAACGGTTGATCTTTGGATTATGGTAACTTGGCGATTTTTTGGCGACCAACTCTGCTACAGCAACCCTCTATTTTTTTTCGCCGCCATTTCGTCTTCATGAAGTAAAGACATGTTTCTTTTCTTTTTATTTACTCAACACTTTTTCCAACAATCTGCTAGCCGAATTACACTTATGCTAGAAATTTTATGGAACAAAATTGCTTAATCGTGACAAATATTAGCTGCAAAATTGGGAAAAAGTGCAGAATCACAAACTCCTTGCCGCATTTTTCAAAATCGCACATACACAGTAACCATGTACACGTCGACTTATTTTTACTTAAAAAAAATCCCAGAATTGCACAAAAATGGCATTGCGCACACTCTTGACTTTATCCATCTACATTGCTATTTTCTCATAAATTACAAAAATTTGCACGAAAATGCAGGAAAATTTTCTGAATCTTTAAACTCTGTAAAAAGCACGTATATGAAATTACTTGATCGCGAAAAAGTATATACCCTATCCAAGGATGAACATTTCCACGTATAATATAAATAAAATATCCAATATAATATAAATAAAACTTTTACCTCTAAATTATCTATTATAAACGTCACCAACGAATTCATAACAAAACATTAAAAATGGTTACAAATACTTAGTGTCAAATATTTAAATTATTTCCATAACACGTTTACTTCAACTGAAACGTATACCAAATTCCTACAAACATAAAATTCACAAAATAACTATCATTTAATTAAAACATCACTTAACCATGTACACGTCGACTTATTTTTACTTAAAAAAAATCCCAGAATTGCACAAAAATGGCATTGTGCACACTCTTTACTATATCCATGTACACTGCTTTTTTCTCATAAATTAGAAAAATTTCACAAAAATGCATGAAAATTTTGTGAATCTTTAAATCCGGTAAAAAGAACATATATGAAATTACCTGATCGCGAAAAAGTATATACCCTTTCCAAAGATGAACATTTCCACGTATAAAATATCGAAAAACTTTTACCTCTAAATTATCTATTATATTATAAACGTCACCAACAAATTCATACCGCAAACATTATAAATGGTTACAAATACTTAGTGTCAAATATTTAAATTATTTCCATGCACGTTTACTTCCACTGAAACGTATACCAAATTCCTACAAACATAAAATTCACAAAATAACTATCATTTCATTAAAATATAATTATATTCAAAACCACTACTTAAAATATAAATGAGCACATACATTAAATTAATAAAAATTACCTTACAATCCTAATTACTTTAAACTAAATCATTGCTAATAACAATTTTCCCAATAATACCAAATTCCTTTCCACCTTACATTTAGAACAATGCATAAAAATAATATCCTCAAATAATTAAAAATACTAACTTACCTAATCTTCTTCAGAATCTTGATTACGTGGCGGATACACTTTTCTAATTCATTCAATAAAATTATTGAAAGATTTTTTTCTGCGAATTTTTTCTCCATACTTCCTCCGCTAAATAAAAAGCAAAATTCTCTTTATCACAATGCCTAAATACCCATTTCGAATTCACTTTAGTTAGGGGCCATGGGATCCAAAAATTAACCAACACTGTTTCACACAACACAGAATAAAGCTAAATACAAAATTTCCAGATTTCCCCCCTTTTCCGATTAAAGAACTGTAATTTGTCCATTAATGTCACATGACATATCTCATGATCTCTCATTTCCCTCACACAAAATAATGCATAATCGGAACTGAGTACTTGTCACATTATTACCAAAGTCCTAGGTAGTAATCTTTATCGCCTCCAAAATGTCGCCATACTACCAGTTACCTTATTCCAAAGATCAGCCCAGTTAACTTGATTAGTAAACTCTGCTTCCATAATTTTGGTTTTCAGTGAACTTGAAAAACTTTGTAGCTGCATGTTTTATGAAATAAGTAAACTTTTTTAAAATTACCATCAGGAGCTAGATTTGATACAATATTTTTGATGAGTAGATGTTAACTTATATATTAAAAATATTTGAATATTCTTTGTTACTGCTGCTAGAAATCAGTTTTTGTTTCTTATTGCATTTCATCAAAAAATATTTTATGTATTTTACCATTGAATTAATATGGTGAAAGCTAAGTGTAAGTCTCTATGTTAACCAGTCTATATAGAATTATTATTAAACACCTGCCTGGTATCTCAACAAGGAAGATTAATAAATCTTGGATTATTTTCTATAATGACTTGTGATATGTATTAAAATCATTTAAGGTTTAGTGATCTTTATTTCAGTTTAAATGTGGATAAAAAAATGGGTAAAACTGTATTTACGGGTACCCCTTGAGGAAAATTGGAGATTTTTGGTGGTACATGGATACTGAGTTTGTGCAATTCTTTGACTTGTTACTTTGGCTTTGTGTAGCGCTGATTTTAGCGCCAAAAATCGCTGCTACACAAGTACAAAATAACAATTATTCAAGTCGAAGAATTGCACAAACTCGGTATCCATGTACACATTGACCTATTTTTCTTAAAACCCCAGAATTGCACAGACTAGGCATTGCACACTCCCTTGACTTATCCATGTACTGGTCGACCTATTTTCACTTAAAAAAAAGTCAGAGAATTGCACAAACTTGGCATTGGGAACTCCTTTTGTCCATGTACACATAGATATATTTTCACTTAAAAAGTCAAAGGAGCACCCAATTCTAGGTAAAAGTATATTTACGGAACGTTCAACTATTCGGGTTACAATAAATAAAACAACAACTTGCCAATTCTAGGTAAAAGTATATTTACGGAACGTTCAACTACTCGGGTTACAATAAATGAAACAACAACTTGCCGATAAACGAAAGAACAACTTCACGATAATACAAGGGCTACCGTTCAGTGTACTCTAACCAAAAAATGAATTTACTAATTCATATTTTCAATTAACAGAACTTATTATTGACCAGTTATGAAATTAAGATAAATGATTTAAAATATTGGGAAGTCAATTTATTACATTTTTTATACTGGAAGCTTATCATGGCTAATCTTTGGAATATGGTAACAGGTAGTTTGGGGACATTTTGGTAACGCGATAAAGGTTACTAGCTAGGACTTTAGCAGTGTACATGGATAAAGTCGAGTGTGCGCAATGCCATTTTTGTGCAATTCTGGGATTTTTTTTAAGTGAAAATAGGTCGACGTGTACATGGATACCGTGTATGTGCAATTCTTAAAAACGCAGCAAGCAAGCTAGGACTTTAGCAGTGTATATGGATAAAGTCAAGAGTGTGCGCAATGCCATTTTTGTGGAATTCTTGGATTTTTTTTAAGTGAAAATAGGTCGACGTGTACATGGATGATACCGTGTATGTGCAATTCTTAAAAACGCGGCAAGCAGTGGGCGATCATAATCTTCGTCATGATTAAGCTCTTTTGTTCCATAAAAGTTCTAGCATAAGCGTAATTCGGCTAGCAGATTGTTGGAAAAAAATTTTGAGTAAATTTAAAAAAAAAAAAAAAAAACTTTACTTTATGAAATCAAAATGGCATCCAAAAAAAAAAAAAAAAAAAAAAACTAGCAGGTTGCTGTAGCAGGGTTGGTCGCCAAAAAAATCGCCAAGTTACCATAATCCAAAGATTAACTCTTATTATCAAACTATAACGTAATAATATTTTCAATTTGGAGTAATAAACATATTAAGAAAAACATTATTGTTTTGAAATTTTGGAACTACTCTTATACGC